ATGAGAGAGAGAGAGAGAGAGAGAGAGAGAGAGAGAGAGAGAGAGAGAGAGAGAGAGAGAGAGAGATGTGTATACATATAAATATTAAAATAAATTACTACTTATTACTTGTCCCACAGATCCCCGCAATAAAAGAGGGACTACTATTTCATAATTTTTATCATTATTTTTATTATATAATTTTATACACACACAGTTGTGAATAGAGTTTTAGGATTAAATTGGGCTGCTTTATTTTAATTTGTCTTTAAATGGCTCAAATTAAACCCATTAGATTATTAAAGAAAGAGTATTCAAGTTGCTTCATTATTACGTACATCTGCTAAAAAGCAATGCAGATAAGTAACAACGTGTTGTAAAGGGTTCTGACTCTTGTACTGGTGCCCCTCCTGCTGTGAAGGAGCGTTGTTTTCCCTGTACCAACACCTTCTGTTTACTTGTAGATCTGCAGGAGTGCTGACAACAACACTTTACATTCACACTGCAGGTCTTAATGCTCAATTCTGATATTTTGAAGGCCCCCTTTTTTGTGTGTGGTCGGTCACATTAATAAAATGCAACCTCCATCAGAGCCAATTGTTAACAGATCTGAGGCGACCTGCATGTGCAGAAGAAAATGTGACGTCACACTCAGCGCACTCTGTTTAAGGATGTAAATATGATCGTCTCACATGTTAGAATATGTTCATTGAGTTTGAAGTTGTTGTGCAATCAGAACCAAATCAATAATTCCATCCAGTGCTTGCATTTAGTCTTGCCTCCTGACGGCTCCTCCGGTACAGAGTTGTTATTTTTGGAATGGGAGCTATGAACTGAACAAACTCAAGTATCGATCCATCACATCAGTATCGTATGGAGTCTAGACTCTCAGTCATCCAGGACATGAGAATTTAAAACTACAAAGATGAAGCAACTGGACTCTGTCCTGTAACTGAAGACGAGCAGAGTTCCCAGATTTGAAGTGCACGAGGTTGATTCAGTGCTACTGATGCTTGAATCTTACTTCAATGATGTAAAAGTGGGATGAAATTAAACATGAGCGTTCAGACTGCAGTTGCTTTGAAAAACTTCAGACTGTCATGAAAATATCTGATATGGGTGCTACAGGGACAATAATAAATAAAATAAAAATCAGATTTGGGCCACATATTCCTGCAGTGTGAACATAGCCATGGTGACATTGTTCCATAAATTCTCTCCACAGATAATCTGTTTCACTGTCAGGACGATATTATAACCAGAAGACTGTTCGTTTTCAGCAGCATGTGAAAGTCAGTAAGAGGTTAGAGTTTTTCATTTATAATCAGTTATGAAAGGTTGACTTACGTTTTGTTATTTAAAATACAGAAAGTACATTTTTCTGCTCGCTGCTGTTAAGTGTTAAGTACATCTACTGCCTGAGTGTTGATTTATTTTGTCCTCTGTCACGGTTTTACCTGTTCGTTGTTAATAATGAGTCAGATTCCATAAAAACGTTCTGTAAAGTTAAAACAGCGCCTGTTTACAAATCACAGTTTTAATTAGATAATAGACTTAAGGAATTAAATTACAGGATCAGTTAATTGTTTGGTTCTTTTGTACTTTAAGTTCCTTGTTTTACATCAGATTCATTTTGAACTGCAGCGTATTATAATTAAGACCTGAATCGTTTTGTGTTGCATCTGATTTTGCTGCTTGTGCAACTTTATTTTATATCAAGGCGCTACGTAGAAATATGAAGTCAAAGTTTGTTCCTACAGCAATATTTAAAAAGAAACCCTTGTTGGCCAAAGTGTAAATATAAATGCTGTGCAGGTGAGCTCCAATGCAGTAAAAATAGCACATAAGACAAAAAATTTGGATAAACACAATAATCTTGCACAATTACATTAATAAAATGAATATAAATAAACAGGGTGTCATGCGTGATTAAAAGCCAATAAAAAGTCATTGTTACGACTAAAAGTTAAAACAGGCATTTCTTGACATTTCTGAACAAAGGTGCTATTTATAGTTTACTGAGCTCAGTTAAAAATAAAGCGAAACAATAAACTAGAGAAATTTCACTTCCTGTGAAAATGCGGTGTGAATGATTATTGCTGAAAACTGCTGAAGAAGCTGAAACCAGGCTGAAAAAGTTTCATGGCTAACTGTTGATGTGAGTTTAATTTGAACAGCGGACATTTACTGAAAGCAGGAAAATAAAAGTGGAAAGAAGTGGAAAAATGGCAGAGATGTGTAGAAAAAGCTGAATAGAGCATAAATGTAGCTAAAATGAGTGGGATAAGCTGAAGATAAGCTGAAGATAAGCAGAGAGAGGCAGAATAGATAACAAAAAAAATCTGAAATTAATACACAAAAAAAACTATGAAATGAGCAGTAATAAAGCTGAAACTAGTAAAAGGTGTTGCTGAAAAAAAAAATTTAAATTAGCAAAAAAATGCTGAAAGGAACATGAACATTTTAAATTTTTATAAAGAATCACAAAAGGCAGAATAAAAACAAAGTAGACAATGACTAAAAATAGAAGCAAAATACATTAAAATGTAGCCAAAAAGTAGAGAAATGCTGAATTTAGCAGAAAAATAGTTGAAAAAAGATGAAATGAACAAAAAGAAGCTGAAAGGAGCTGGAAGAATCCTAAATTAACACCAAGAAGCTGAAAAAAGCTAAACCAAAACAAAAGCTGAAAGTGTTTGAAGGACATGGAGAGCTCTATTCATTTTCAGAGAAAAACATGGCTGAAAAGGCTAAATATTTCTAAAGTAAAAATTGTGCAAACACCAAAAGTCACAGCAGGAATGTCCTGAATGAGCTGAACACTTTGACACATGAATAGCTGAAATATAACATTTGCAGAACAAGTAACATGCAGAAAACGCAGAAGAAAAATGCATCTCAATAATGTGAGTGCTTTCTAAACGTTCACACAAAAAGCCTAAAACCTGCACTCGTGTTCCACTGTATGTGCCCAGACATGCTTACCTCCTCGCTGTACTTGCTGACGTAGGAGTAGATCTCGTTCAGAGCACTGAGCATGTTGAACTCGGTGGAGTGGAGTCTGGCCTGCTCTGCTAAATACGCGTTCATGTCCTGGTCGCTGATGGCTGGCATCCGGGTGATGTCAGCGTAGTACCTGGGAACAGAGACAACAAGAAACACTTTGGAACACCAAATGAGTCAATACAGAAGTTTGGCTGAGGTGCCAATTATTTGATAGTCAGATCTTTGGAGCCATTACACCACTTGGACTGACAATCGATGCTAACATTCATCCACAAATTGCTTTTACAGTCTGGCTGAGACGTGTACGGAGGAGAAAAAGAGCTTTATGAATCAATTTTCCAAAAGGCTCCTAGTTTTTTATGTAAGCTGAGACAAAAAACAGTGTGTTAGCGAGGATCAGGATGGTGCATAAAGTGACTGCGCCTACCTTTCCACCCAGCTCTTGTAATTGGGGATATCTTTAGCGTACAGCAGTTTATTTGATGGGGAGTCTTTTCCCAGTCGATGCTCTGAAGTGGAGCAAGAATCCATAAAAGTCTGTGCCACCACAGATAGACAGGCGTCGGTGATGCTGCTCTTATGAATGTCAAACACAAACTGTGGGTTCTTGATCACGTTCACCCAGAAACGCAACGGAAGGCTAGGAGATGGAGACAAAAGGACACGAGTGAAGGACAAACCAGAGTGATCAGACTGTGAAATTAGTAAAGCTCAAATACAGCTTAGTCTACAGAAACTGGAGCTGACAATAGATACCATAAGGACCAATCATTTAAGAGAAGAATCTCACCAGTTGCTTTTCCATGTGTGACGTACATCTGTGTCATAAATGCCATGTTTATCAGCCTGCTCATCCAGGAAGTCAAACATGTATTTGATGGCCAGAGGGAGAGTACTCCCTCGATGGACGGTACTGAACAAAGTCTCAAATAGATCGTCAACAAATTTTTGTAGTGTGCCCTGATAAAAAAAAACAAAAACGACAGCACATAAATAGTAGCAGTTCATGAAGGAAACAAGGTAAGAATAAACCTTTAACATCCCACTTGTACACTGCACTGATGTACCTTTGTAGCTAGAAGTCGGGTCAGATAGATCTCAGAGACCATCTTGCTGCCCCGATCCCCTTCCTTCTGGTCTCCGTGCTCGTGGTTTTTCACCAAGTGCCACACCTTCACACCGCTTTCCAGGTCTGGTGTGATCATGGGAGCACGTGAACGGAGGCTGTCTGGACTTCCTGTGTAACGGAATGACGAGTCTGTCCAGGATGAAAACAAAAATCAAGGGTTTAAGTAAACTTAACTGATTGATGGGTTTTCTTGAGGTCTTGCTTCTTTCAGGTTAATGTAACTCCTTGGCGTTCAGGGAAATAGTAGAGATTGATCCATCCATCCATCCATCCATCCATCCATCCATCCGTCCGTCCGTCCGTCCGTCCGTCCGTCCGTCCGTCCGTCCGTCCGTCCATCCATCCATCCATCCATCCATCCATCCATCCATCCATCCATTTTCTTCCACTTGTTCGGGGTCGGGTTGTGGGGATAGCAGCCTAAGTAGGGAGGTCAAGACTGCCCTCTCCCCAGCCACTTGGGCCAGCTCCTAATCCCAAGGTGTTCCGGGGTCAGATGAGAAACAGTCCCTCCAGCATGTCCTGGGTCTTCCTCTGGGTCTGCTTCTGATGGGACGTGTCCGGAACACCTCACCAGTGAGGCGTCCAGGAGGCATCCTAACCAGATGTCCGAGCCACCTCAACTGGCTCCTCTCGATGTGGAGAAGCAATGGCTCTTCTCTGAGTCCCTCCCGGATGACCGAACTTCTCACCCTGTCTGTAAGGGAGAGCCCAGACACCCTGCAGAGAAAACTCATTTTGGCCGCTTGTATCCGTGATCTTATTCTTTTGGTCACAAGCCAAAGCTCATGACCATAGATGAAGGTAGGAACGTAGACTGACCGGTAAACTGAGAGCTTCGCCTTTTGACTCAGCTCTCTCTTCACCACGACAGACCGAAGGAACTGATCCCCATCCCGGCCACGTCACACTTGGCTGCGAACCACTCAAGCGAAAGCTGTAGATCACAACCTGATGAAGCCAATAGGACCACATCATCTGCAAAAAGCAGGGACATGATCCTAAGGCCACCAAAATAGATCCCCTCATCACCTTGGCTGTGCCTAGAAATTCTGTCCATAAAAGTTATGAACAGAATCGGTGACAAAGGGCAACCTTGGCCGAGTCCAACTCTCACCAGGATTGAGCCCGTAGAGATAGATATTTTCTTGAAACAGCAACATACTGAACCATACTGAGTAATAGTAGCCTTCTTCAGATTGGTTTGAAATATACACACAAAATGTGACGCCTTTCTGATGTTTCATATAAAAAAACACAATCATGCATACGATGACGAGAACGTAGCACATTTATTTCCCTGTTTATTCACCCTTGAATTTCACTTTCTCTGTCATGAATTATGAGATAATTGTTAGCTTTTTATCTCTCTCATCACTCATTCTCTCTTCTTACATAATCCCTGCTTCATGGATGCACCTGGCTCTACTTAAAAGCTCTCATAATTGGCTCTTCCCTGTTGATAAAAAAAATCCCCATCACGCTCTAATCAATGCATCAAAAGATCCCCAATTTGTAAATTCCCAGCCTTCATCCATACATCTGCCTCATCCTGCCTCTTTGCTCCTCCTCCCTCCAAATGACGGTGGTTTCAGTTTCTCTAATTAGTCGACATCGACTCAAGGCAAGCAGTTCTCTGGAGAGTCAGGATCTGAGGAGCCTAGTGAGGATCTCTCCCACCTGGCTTCAAAGGCCGAGTGGAACAACAAAGCATTTGCTGTCATTTAAGCCCCTTATACCTTTCAAATAAGGCTCAGCAGTGCCCCTCGAGTGGCCGCTGGGGACAGGGAGACTGGATTGTGATCCCAGATCCCATCTTAATGCAGTCACTGGCTTGTACTGCTCAGTGTTTCCCAAAAGTCCTCATCCTCACTGCATCGAGCATTTCAAAACATCTGTAACACCAAACCTTCTTGTTATTGCTGCAGCTCCCAGCTCCTGGATCCAGATAGTTTGTAAAATATTGTCCTCTGGCTTTTTTTTTTTTGACTGAATGGTACACTGAAGGTGTGTAATGAGTCAAGAAGCTTAATGTTGAACATGAAATTGGTACGAATCCATCAGCGGGTGTCGAGGTGCAGCTGTGCCTTCTGTGCTAAACTATGATTGATGAGGGCCAGCCTCATGCCAGCAGTGTCCACTCTCCACATCCACGTGCAGGACTGGAACGCCAGAGGCAAAAGGTAAAGGAAGAACATCTTTTAACCGGCTCTTACCAGGTTTTATCATCATCTTCCTCAGATAAAACTTCTGTTTTCAAGAAAACAACCACTAAGTGCTCTGCCCTCTTCTAAAGATCATCTTAGATAATCATTACAAATTGTGCTGATAAATGTCACTTCAATTTATTTCACTCAAAAATATATGGTCTTATTACAGCAGATGTTCACAGGTGTCAACTTTATGTGATATTTGTAAATAAACATAATCGCTCAAAGGGATGGAGGTGTTCTGAGCTTGTTAGGCAGTTTAAATGTGGCGTTCACCTCCTGTTCCCAATCCCGATAATTGGCCACGCTCACTTATCTTTTTTGTTTGTGTGAAGCATCGTTCACACAGAATAATTAGCAATCACTTGTTGCCTGGTGCTGGTGCTGCTGCTGCGTCAGTCTGGCAAAAGTCCAAAACTGGAAGCAAGCAACACAAACTGCATGGAAATCTGATCAGATGTGTGTGCGCTTGGGCTTAAGTAGACAGCATGTCTTAGTAAACTGAACACTTTTACACCAGGACCCTGACTCTGATAAATGATAAAAATGTCACGTTGAATCAGTGAAACGTCTGTAAAGCAATATAAAATACTGATATGGGTATTTTAAAATTTGATTAACTTTTCCAGCGGAAAAAACTATCTGAAGAAAGACAACCTACACGTTGAAAATCATATGTGTTATCCAGCTCACAAGGTTTGCATAAATGGTCGCAGCCGTCTTAAATTTTGACGTGGCAACCCAGTTTTCTAAAGGAATCTCTGTTACATGTGATGTAGCCGTACATCAAAATGGAGGTCAGTACTTCACTTAGTTTTCAAGTTATCACTCTCACAACATGCATGGATGGACGGAAAGATGAATGGACGGACAGACGGAGGGTATTTCCAATTCCTCTTTTTTACTTTGACGATGGACAAAAAAAACCTTTTGCTTTGGAGCGAGTGGATTTATTTTCTTCATGGTGAAGAAACTCATTTTTATGTCTTTAAGGAAAAACAGCAATAGTCCTAAATCTTTATGGAATGAACCAGAAACATATACACATATATATATATACACATATATATATATATATATATGTATATATATGTGATAAATAAAATCTCGTAGTGAATAACTCACCGTATCGGCTGATGGAGGCCCGTGATATGCTGGCTGAGGAAGGGATGTTGTACGATGAGGTCTGTTTAGGCACCAAAGCCACCACGCTGCGGTCCGACACCTGTATGAAAAGACACATTACACAAATCTTCATACCAATATACAAATATAACGAGGTGTTTTACCATTTATCACGCATTTATCTTCTTTACATTAGAAAAAAAATCACTTGTGATTCAAAATCTGTTCTAAGCAGAGTTTATCCCTCAAACCCACAAACTGTCAGATGTATTTGTGTTTAACGTGTTCTCACAAATATTTCATCCCACGAAGAAAAACAACGACAACATGAGAAGATGTAAAACCACGAGTAAACAATCCCCTGAGCAAAAATCTATCTCAAAAATCTTTGTGTCATATCTGTGCTCCCTGTTGTTTTGTACCACAGCCCTGTGGCTTTTTTTTTTTTCCAGAACAGCAAAGTGCTGCGGCTGCATGATGGTGGCACTAAACATGACTGTCATTGTCATCGTCAATCCCTTCCCAAACCTCAGAGACATGAGGTAAGCTTTGGATCCGCTAACAGAGAGAGCAGAGGAAGGAAAAATAAACTGTCACACGGAAGACAAAGAAGCAAGGATGCTGACTGTCTCATCTTGTTTACTTCACTCTCTCAAAAAAAGAAAGAACGAAAACGATTTAATAATAGCAATGAAACAGTACTAAGAGCCAGAGAAGAAGGGAGGGGGTGTTAAAAGATGAGACTCAGCTTCATCCTCTTCCTCCCCCTGTGAATCATAAAATCCAAAGCTGTTGGCTCCAGTCTTTAGAGTCAGGACGGGAGAAAAAGAACAGCCTACAACTGAGAGGACGCCCTAAATATTAGCTTGATGAGACGCTTTTTAGAAAAGATATTTCATCAATCCAACTGTGCAACTAATGAACGCTACTGCTGTTAGAGAACCAAAACAGCTCGGCTTGAGAAATGCAGATCGCAGCAAACAGAAGAGTCCTTCTGAAAAGAAAGAAAGAAAGAAAGAGAGTGAAAGAAAGAAAGAAAGAAAGAGAGTGAAAGAAAGAAAGAAAGAAAGAAAGAAAGAGAAAGAAAAAACAACACAAAGCGAGTTGGCTGGCATTTAGAGCTCACCCTAAGGAGGACTTTCTGCAAAGACAAACTGATGAGTCTCTGTTGGAGAAATAAACAAAAGACAAACGCCAGGCTCCAAAAAAAAAAAAAAACGTTCTCAAAGACGGAGTGGGGAAACTGGAAATTCTCTGTGTTGTTTTTAAAATGTACCTCTGAATCCGTTACTGTGTCGTCAGGACTGATGCTCTCACCACTTTCTTTCTCCTGCACTGTCAGAGATTATCTCCGTTTTGCCATTAATTGGAGTTGTTATGGAACCTCTTGGGGGGGGTGAGGGGGGGCCTCAAGTGTGAATGGCTGGATAATTTCTCTTCAAGATGAATCTCATGTACTGTGGCCTCAAGAAGGAGATGAAAAATAGTCCTTTCCCTTACGACTCACATTTTTGTTTCTGACCGTGCCTATGTGTCATTTATCTCTACTTACCTGAACCTACAGTAATTTCTGCTGGCCCTCCATCCTGCAGCCTGCTATAGGCTGACAGCGCACAGACCAGCTCTAATATACCATCACTGCAGACTTCCATGGAGCTTCCACTGCCATTCCTGTGATCCATTTTCTCCTGGGAGCATGAAATAGCTTCTCAGTACCCACTTCTTGTTACATGTGCCTTCATCTCTCTCTCTTTCTCGATGCTTTTTATGGCAGACAGAGAAGCCGGAGCAGAGATGGGTCCTTGCGATAGTAGCAAATGATTGAAGGTGTGCAGATTCGCCCTTCAGGGATAATCCAGTGTGGGGCTGATAGTGGGCAGGTGTGATAAGGGCTGTGGGCCCCGCCTGAGATAAGACCTTCCATTAGACAGAGGCGAGTCGACCAGACAGTAGCGTGTGGTCATCCTTTATCTTTCTTTCTTCAACCCTCCCCCAAACCCGTTCCCCTTTGGTATCCCACCTCACTTCTCTCCAATCTCAATGCCTATCAGAGGATTTGACTTGGTTCTGCTTATAAACAACAACATGTGCACAGACTTGCCACAGTGAGCGACTGAACAGATGCACAGACTAAAAATGTTGCTCATTGTTCAGTGTTACCCACAAAGAGCAGTCAATCAAATTTAAAACACTTCAAATTTCATACAAAAGAGAGAAAACTAGTACCAACCCCCCTAAGTGTTGTCTGCAAAGTAAAAGGACCCCTCTGGCAGAATGTTCTGGATTGGTCACCAGTGTCCCACAACCTTCAGAGGACATTTAAAATGTCACCAACCAAACTTTAGCTAAAGAGGGACAAGAAGCCTCCAAGTAATGACAGCCCTTTAGGCCCCTTCACATTAGATGACAACCCCACAATGATAAAATAAATAAATAAATAAATATAAATCAGCCAGACATAACTGTTTTATCAGGGTCTGGACAAAATCTTTGGGTGTGTACTAAGACTGTATCTTCTCATTACATGTGGTAAAGTATGATATGGCACAGTAGTTTTGGTCGTGGTCAGACTTCTGTGGCATGGCCATGGTGGTTTGTCCTGGTGGTAACAGTGTTTTGGGCTGTGTATTGGGGAGCATGGCAGTGGCAAACTCATGAGATGAACCCTGCTCTGGCATGAACCAGTCAAGAACTCAAAGCAGGATTTATCACAATGACCTCATGCCTCAGCTACGATGAGGCAAAACTCTGAAAGTGCATTATTTCATTGCCGTCTATGCCTACATCATACCTGCTTCATACCCGCCTTGGCAGTGTCTCTAAATTTATGATTTAATCTACTGGATTACTTTTTAAAACAAGGTTAAGCAGATTTTGAGCAGTTTTAAATAATCATCATTGGACATTCAGATGTTGCAGTCACACAAGTTTTCTGTAACAGCAGAGCTCCTGTGTGGGTTTCAAACTACAGCTCTGGCACTCGTAGCCTTTTTAAAACGTTTCCAACAATTCCTGACATCATCCATCCATCCATCCATCCATCCATCCATCCATCCATCCATCCATCCATCCATCCATCCATCCATCCATCCATCCATTCATTCATTCATTCATTCATTCATTCATTCATTCATTCATTCATTCATTCATTCATTCTCTTCACCTGCATCTATCTTGTGGAGCAAAAAGGTGTACCTAAACAGGCTAAACTATGAATTGAGAAAACAGGCTGCATGAGGGTGTTCTGAGGGTGACACCTCAGAGTGACAACTTCCACTTAGAATTTTAGCTGACAATAAACACTGCAAAAATACAACCTTGAAGGGTGTCTGCATCTTTCCCCTGTTACAAGGTGAGTCTAAGGTGAACTGACGGACAGAGTGCAGAATCAACAGAAGCTACTGGCTTCCTTAGACAATAACTTTCTGATTGGCATTTCAGAATGTACGGTATGTGAATTTACTTTATTTTAACAAAAGTGAATTGACTGTATTTGAACTTGAATCTGGATCTGAATTGGATTAATGATTTGGACTTGTTTTGTCTTCTTTTGTGTAGTGCCCAGAGATTAGTTTTGTTGTGAATTGGTGTTAGTCGTGACAGCCTGAGACAGCCTGGCAGTTTCTTCACTGAACTCACATGAGGTTGAACCTCACGGTACGTTTTCTGCATGATCAGTAAGATAAAATTGTTCCTCTATCCAAACAAGACAAACAAAATTTTAGTTACAACGGTTAAATAATTATTCTGTCAAAGGTATGGATGAGAAAAAGATACAATAATATACGGTGCTTGCAACCCGCTGCCGTGTTGAAACAGTTGTTGGAGCTTCAATATTATTTTCTCTTAATATATGCAAGGGGGGGAAAAACTCAAAGAAAAGTAGAATAGGTGGTTTCAGGGCAGGAGTTCAGTCCCCTGACAATGAATAGAAAAGTGATGAATAAAGATACACAGCTCATTTTCAGTTTGTGCATATAAGTTCTTCATTTTAACCGAGCAGAAAGGTGTGCATTTCCATACCCAACTTGTGTAAACCATTATTTCCAGTGTGGCAATGTAAACAGCCTATGGCGTTTCTTGGGTAGCTGTGAGACCTGCTGTATGAATTTTAATGCTTTGATTTGTGTTTCTGCTGAGAATTAGCAAATACTCAGAGTGATGCTCAGACTCACTCTGCATATTTCAGAGCCCCTTCCACCATTTCCTCTTTACCTATTCACATTCTTTCTTCTAGCGTTTCCCCTCGTTCTTGGGCTTAATGAGCTGAGCAGCCTTGTTTTTAGACGTGGCGGCACATGTGTTGTCACAGTTGCCATTTCTGTGCCGTGTTGTGTGACACAAACATGCAAGCTCACACAAGGGGGCTATTGCCAGCTCATCAAAACCGTAATGATGTGAAAATATCTCTCCATCCTACTCTTGAATTGTCTTCACCAGCAAACTGCCCTTTTCCTTTATACTCAGTCTTTTTCCTTCCTTTTCTCTTCAATGTGTTGGCCTGCAGCCTGGCAGTCTCTTCAATGAACTTACATGAGGTTGAGCCTCACGGTACATTTTCTGCAGGCGGGCTTAGATCCATGATCAGTTGCAGCCCTGCGATCTGCCATTGTGCCAAAAAAAAAAGAGTAAAGAGGCCACATGCATGTGGTTCTGGAGCACATCTCTTGGCTAACAATGGAAAAAAACAAAACAACAACAACAGAGGAGCCCATTATGGCGAGGAAACAACCACTCTGGACCCCCATCAAATGAAAATCCTGCAGAGAACAAGAAAAGGTGCTTCAATTATACAAGAAAAAGAAGAGAAAGCAGAAATTGAAGGTAAGATAAGAACAACTATCTACGATGGAGCTTTAGGGCCACGCTAAAATAAATAAATAAATAAAAGCCATAAAATTACAAGAATAAAGTTGTAGTGTTACGTGAATTAAGCTGAGTAATATATTAATATTACGAGAATAAAGTTGTACAAGACTTTTTTTTACAGTTCTTGTTTATTAATTTTTTTCCGCACGAGTCAGATCCACAACGCGACCTGTCAATCAATCCAGTAGGCATGTCAGCAAATGACCAATCTGAAGCTAAATGCTCCTTACCTGCAGAGAACTGCACCGCAGCCCATCAGAGCGTACCACCTTACTGTAAGCAGGTCAGTTATGCATTAATAATTTTGTCCTTAAACATTGTACAAGAGCAAAGCTACATTCTGTCATGACATTGCACCGTCTGATGGGCTGCAGCAGCTCTCTGCAGGTAAGGAGCATTTAGCTTTGGATTGATCATTTGCTGACACGCCTTCTGGATTGACTGACAGATCGTGTTGTGGATCCGACTCGTGGAAAAAAACAGAATAAACTAGGGATGCACCGAGCCACTTTTTATTTATTTTTTTACTTCCGATCCAATCCCGATACCTAAATCTCGATATTGGCCGATACTGATACCGCTCCGATTTCATCATTATTGATTTTGTATGAGGCTGTAATAATCTCCTCAAGTACAATTTGTACAAATATATGCATGCATTTCCAAAAAGGCAACTTGAGGTGAGTTTTATTAATGTTGGATAAGTTTTAAAAGTTAAGAATTAAATCCTACTAACACAAAACATGTTTTTTTATTCCTAGCTTTAAAGTGGATATTAAAGTGATTAAATGACTTTAAACAACTGCTAAGCTCATGACATAAACCAACACACACATGTTCCTGTTTTTAGTATTTTACATCACTTTATAATGTAGCTGTTTTTGCTTCTTAAAAAAAAAAGAAAAAAAAATATATATACTGTATATATATATATATAATTTTATTGCATTTTTCCATTCATATGTTTTTTTATGATTGTCTACTGTTGTGCTGATAAATATCTCCTGGAGGGTAAACTATATCTTGGCTGCAAGTATCAAGCTGTGAAATCCTTCATTTTCTACAACTGACAGTGGTTGGTCATTAATTATGATGAAGTTTAGCAACTTCTCGGTAAACATTCGAGCTCCGTGGCTTCAGCGGTGTGTTCTTCTCGTTCAGTCCGAAGCAAGCAGTCTGATTTCGGTCAGCCGCGCTCAGTCTACCCTTCCTCCGAGACGGGCAGACTGAGCCCGGCTGACCAAAATCAGACTGTCTTCTTTGGACTGAACGAGAAGAACACACCGCTGAAGCCCCGGAGCTCTAATGTCCAATATAAAAGTAACTTTATCGTGGTTTAATGTGGTGCTATGTTGCCGCGACGGAGCTTCCTCCTCTCGGTAGAGCGGCTCTGCAGACATTGCACGTTGCTGTCTTGTTTTGTGGTGTTTCTAGTGTAAAATACTTCAACACAGCGGACATGTTTCGATGAAAAGTTGGTTAGCTGTTAGCCACAGTGCTGCTCACTCACGTTTTAGCTGGCTGCAAACTGTGAAATGGATTTCCTGAATGTGAGGCGGGTCTTATTACTCTGCGTTCATGAGACACGCCTCCGTTCAGGAAATCCATTCCATAGTTTGAAGCCAACATGCACCATGGATCGGAAATCTCTGCAGGTTAGATCGGAAAAATCCGATATGTAAATTATGCTGGTATCAGACGCCGATACCAACAACGGATCGGCCCCATCCATAAAATAAACAAGAGTTGTAAAAAAAAATGTCTCGTACGACTTTATTCTCGTAATATTAAGACTTTATTCAACTTTATTCTCATAATTTTATGGCTTTTACTTTTTTTTTTCTTAGCATGGCCCTAAAGCTATTTTGTAACTATCTGCCCATGAATGCGTAACGGGTTAAAATTAGGTGCAATTTAAACAAAGTCAAACAATAAAAATAAAGTAAATGCAAAAAAACAAAAAGTATCAAAACGAGGGCCAAAGGGGAAGGAGAGGGAAACTGAGTGGTGTTGAGTTCTGTGAGAGGAGTTCAGGAGTTCACTGTGGACAGAGTCAGCTCCAGGCTCTGTGGTTCTGATTCTAACTAAAAGCTCTGTCTACCAGCAGGTAACCCAGACACCCCCCCCCCCCCCCCCCCCCCCCCCCATGTTTTCTTCAGGCAGACGACACCCAGCTGACTGATGGGAAAAATGAACAGCAAAAGATTCATGACCTTTGAAGAAAAGCTGCCGTCTTATTCTCTCCTGCCTGATTTATTTTTATTTCCTTTTTCCTTCATTCATCTTTCTTATTTCCCTCAAGCTTCACCAGCTCCCTCTCAGCTTGTTTTATTCAACCGCCTTTAATTCTCCTGAAAAATGTGAAACTTTTCCCTTGTTTTCAGTTCTGCCCCCTCTTTAGCTCACAGCTCTTCTATCTAAGAATCAGGGGGAGGAGAGTGATCTTTGTGCCCTCAAATGACGCGTGAAATGTTGATGGTGTAGAGACCACCACCATTCAGAGGAGGAGAGAGAGACAAGTAAAGAAACGCTCTTCATCTTTTCAGAGAGGAAGGAGAAATGTCAGCTGCGACGCAGAGATTTCACCTCTGCTGCCACCTGTACGGTAATTGTCCTTTATTCTATGAGTCAGTCGGATTACACCAGGCGTGAAAAATGCAAATGAGAGGCTGAAAATTGGCTGCCTTAAAGTCAAGTGCAGGAAACATCAAAGTTTGTCAGTGTAGGAGGAACAATTTCCATAATGAAAGCCACGGCAGGAATTGGACTGAAATGAGACTTTTCTTGGAACAAAAAGGTGACGTTTGAGAGTCAATTAGGGAAACATTACGCTAAAATCTTCCTCTGTGCTTACCTGGTAGTGCAAAAGAGCGTTTAGTCTCTTCCAGTCGTTTTCGATCTTGGTGGTGATGTCTTCGTCCTGTAACACCACGCGAGCCATTCGTCCCTGACGCCACTCTGACGGAACAAACGAACGTAAACAGAAGATGAACAAGAGCAGCACAACTATAAGACACTGCAGCGAGCTATAAATCATCCTGAGATTGAGTTTTCTTTTGACTCAAAACTGTTTTGTGCTTTTCAAACTCAAAGTTTCCATTTAACCACACATGGAGGTGCAGGACTACTTGGTACATAAGAAAAAAAAGTTAACTTCTGATTCTAAAGTTTTACAAGTCAAGACATTATAATCATAATCAAATCCTAAAGTTCTGCAAATGTTTTGAGATGATCTCACTGGGAAACAAATGTTGGGGGCTAGTAGTTGAAATTGTAAGAAAATATGCAACATTTCACTTAGAACAGGGGTCTGCAACCATTTCTGCCCCTTTGTTCACTAAATTAAACGTGTCCGGAGCCACAAAACCTGTGACAACTGTGATTCTCAACTGGTGGCCCACGGACCACCTTAACCTAAGACCTGAACTCTTGCATGACATGCATGATTAATCCCTATAATGTCCACATATGTGGATGCCAGGTCATAGGAGACTAAGTTTGTTGGAGGACACTTTTCTGGCCAGTAAGGTAGTTGGGTAGTGTAGTTTTCTGGCCATTGTAAACCTGAAAATATGATTTTTAACATTTATTTATATTTTTACATTTTAAGACAAAATAAAAAACAAGATTCTTGTAAAGAAGGAAAAATATGTTCTTTCCCAATTTAACCTTCTGAGGCCCAAGCTCTGGTTTGCGATGCATTTTTCATATCTCCTAGATATTTGTGATTGGATGGACCTGATTTTTGTTTAAATAAAGCTTCCTCTTCAAACAGGAAGTTGTATTTTGTTACATGGTTATGACATACTTTTGTAAAAATAAACAAAAGTCCTCAGATGGGGACAATTGGCGTATTTTACAGCATAACACAACATTAACATGGTTTAACAAAGTATAAAACTATTGAACAGAGTGAAGGTACAGCAAAGCCAAAATGTAATGTCTCCAAATGTGAACGCAGGGTCTCAGGAGGTTAAAATACAAAATATACCAATGAACTATGCAGGTCTTGGTAAAAAAATTTAATTGTAGAAAAATTAAGTATTGTACTTCGAAATAAATAAAGTTAAAGTATGTTTTACTCCTGTTGGTTCTAGTAATCACATATTTGCAAAGGAAATTACAGAAAAACTGCTAAAACTAGCCCTTTTGTGTTGTAACAACCAATAAAATTCAGATTTATGTTGGTTATGGTCAAAGCTTGAAAGAGCCGTTGCAGAGGGACCAAAGAGCCGCATGTGGCTCCAGAGCCGCAGGTTGCAGACCCCTGGCTTAGAACAACAGATTTGCACAAAATGTCCTGATGCTTGTTCAACAATCCAGGTAGATCAATCTAACGAGGTTGAGTCAGGTCCACTGGACAGATTCTACTTTGTTGAACAGTTTTGTCTTTTAGCCAGAAGACTTCAGACCAAACACATGCCTGTTCGTTAGATTTATCTTCCTGGATTGTTGAGCATGCATCAGGACATTCTGTGCAAAAACATGCATGCTTTTGGTCTGTGGGAGGAAACCGGAGCACCTGGAGAAAACACATGAATGCAAGGATAGAACATGCAAACTCCACCCAGAAAGGTCTTCAGCCGGGATTTGAACAGGCAACCTTCTCACTGAGAGGCAACAGCTCTACCAAATGAGCCACCATGCTACTTCTCACATAATCAAGTGTGTTGAATTATTTTATAAAATGTATATCTGAGATCCTATCTCCTTCATTTTAAGATGATGAAGACCTGGAAACCTTTATTGTCCCTCTTCTTAAAATCAGTGGTGTTTATGAGTGTCTGAATTTGTGAAAACAGACCCTCTTAATAATGTCTCTAATAAAAACTGCTGCAAGCATCGGCTAATTCATAAAGTTCAAGGTAACAAACCAAGAAACAGAAATGATTTGGCAGGGACAGATATGTGCACGCGCACAAACGAGCAGGTATCTGCAGTGTTCCTGCGTCGCTCCTCCCAGGCAGGGATTGATATGCATCTTAATTTAATATTCCCACGTGAATAAATGTAAGATGTATATGCAGGCAGGCTGCTCATTTTAATTGGTGCATGTGCCACTAAAAGCAGCAGTTGTCCCATCAATGTGAAGAAAAGCAGCGGAGCCGACGAGCCAGGATGAAAAACGTGAGCTCTGAGAAAATTACCTCCTTTCAGAACGAAAAGAAAAAAGCGTGGCTAACAGGTGGAGGCGATAAGCAGTGCTGCTGGAGGTCACTGTCTGATGGGGTCATTGAGCGGTAATGTAATGATAATAAGGGGACTGACAGTGGAGTGGATAACAATGTAGGCCTCATGCTGAGAATGTTCATTGATTTTGCTCTTTGTTGACTGGGTTTTATTACTGCCCGTCTCTGTCAGAGATGACTTCTCTGCTCAGAACAACAAAACCTCCTACCATCACATGAGACGTGCACGCAGAACGCCTCACACACGTAATATTTTCAAGCATCTGATTCTAACGCTGTAGCGCGATGGACGCCGTGCTTATTTTCAACACGCGGGGGGAAGGGGGTGGGGCTTTATTGTTCTCGCCTATGAGGAGCAGGTAGAAAATGGGAGAGACACGGCGATACGAGGAAAGGCGTAGAGCGGCGAGGATGGAAGTGACAGACTGCGTGGGAGCCGAGCTTAGCCTGAGACGGGCGAGCCAGTCTGTCAGCTCCTACCTGCAGCAGCAAATGTAAAAACACGCTCGCATAAAAAACACTTCTCTGTTTAAATGGACTGCTCCTGCTTGGCAGTGCCAGGCAGTGAACGCAGCCAGACGGAGAGATGCGCCACACATTGTCACTTGGTTTGATGGAAGGCCTGGCAGCAGCATGCTGAGGCTGGCAGGACTACTGGAGCACAGTTTCATCACAGTAATGCACTGGTAATCTGTACACATGCCCCAGTGTTCTCTCACTGATACATGGATCTGTTGAGGGTGAAGGACTGGTGAAAGTCCCAGGTTCGATCCCCAGTCACTGCACATCTTGTGGTGTCTCTGAACATCACACCCTATCCCCTATCCTGCAGCACAACAGCTCAGTGGTTTGCACTGTTGTCTCACAGGAAGAAGGTCCTGGGTTCAATCCCCGGTTGGACCTGGGGTCTTTCTGTGTGGGGTTTGCATGTACTTCTCGTGCTTGCATGGGTTTTCTCCAGGTACTCCGGTTTCCTCCCACAGATCAAAAACATGCATGTTAGGCTGCCTTCAGGCCCAGGCCTCCCTTGCAAATGAGATCTGTGATCTCAATGGGATTAGCCTGGTTAAATAAAGGTTAATAAATAAATAAATATCCCCAATTGCTCCCCGGGCGCTTTCAATAGCCGCCCACTGTACCACCTGTGGGTGGATGGGGCAGCACGTCTCATCCCCAAAATGTCCCCCGGGCGCTTTCAATAGCCGCCCACTGTACCACCTGGGGGTGGATGGGTTAAATGCAGAGAGCCAATGTTGCCATTCTATGGAAACATATGTTGATGACAACACATTATTATTGTTATTTGTTCTTTGTGTGTGTGTTTGGGTTGTACCTAGGTCCATGTCGACAGCTCGTGGCCGCTGAGAATAGGGCATGTTCTTGTAAACAGCATCAAGGATCTTCTCTTTCACCTGGGTGATGGTGTCGCAGTTCAGCACCTTCACTGGAATCTCCGGACTGTTTTCGTTGTCGGGGTTTACACAGTTCAGGATCTGGATTGGAAAGACGGGAACAACAGAAGAGAGAGTGAGCGAAACACTGCAGAGGGAAAGGAGCTTGAGGCGTCATGTTCCCCGACTCGACTTGGGTCCAGCTCGAGGCTTTGCCCTCATTACAGTCTCCTTGGAGCATAGCAGGAGCTTTGAGAAACCATTTCCGCTCTTTCTGGCATCCCGAAATCTAATTTCACACCTTCGGCAGGACACCAATTTCCAGCTCTGCCGGGGTATTAGCACGTAATGAGCCAAATTCCCAGTCAGAGCAATCAGAGTATTGTCAAGTCGCATGCTGGCTGTGTGAGCGCTCTCCGTTCCTCTGTGTGTGTGTGTGTGTGAGCCCAGAGAAGTCTGTTTGGTTTCGTCAGGCTCCAGCCACCTACCCTGATGTTGGACCAACATGGCACCCTGTGAGATCACTGGGTAATTTATTTCCCACTATGGAGGGATGGAAAACATCTAGGTAATCCCAAAAATGGTTTAATGTGAAAACGAGTCATTTTTCTTCTTTACAGCGTTTATGTTTGTCTGCCTCAGCTTGGCAGCCTCGTGTTTGTTTGTCTGTGAGCTTTTGTGCAACCTTCTGCTGCGGCTGCTGGAGTGTGACGTACCAGGGTTTTGTACTCGATCTGCTGCCGAATGAGCTTGTCTTCACTCAGGGAGTAGCGGGCCTCTCCAGTGATGGCGTCGATGGGCCCCTTTTCCATCTGCTGCTTGATGGCGCAGTACAGCATGAACAGAGGCTCCCCGGCACACTCCTGCGCACGCAAACACACCGATTCACACACGAGAGAACAGCGTCAAGACAAAACCCTCATCAGACTGAGAACACAAATGCATAATCACGTATTTAAACTGGGAATGCCAATAATAAGATGCAAATGATGGACTTGTACGTGCACTCAGGAACACCTACGCACGCCTACATGCGCTGCTTGTTGGACTAACCTTGAGGAATTTGTGAAGGAGGAAGGCGAACCAGTTTGTGAGCATCTTCTCAGCAACAGACTCTGTTCTGAAATGACAGAAACTATTTTATTCTCTTTGTTGATAAACACAAATTCCCCAAAACAAAAGTTTTTCATAATTTATGAGTTTGTGGAGGAAACCCGAGGGAGAGCTCCCTGACATCTCGGCTATCCTGCCTTTGGTTTTGTTTGCGTTCAGCGTGCAACACTGTGGTCTCAGATAGTGAGCCGAGCAGAGCGGAGAGAGGGCATCTGTGTGCGGGTGGGAGCAGTTGGGAGTGTGTGTGTGTGTGTGCGGTTGATTATTCATGTGTGGCTCAACACAGCGGGACATCAGCAGCTGCGACAAGCCTCAGCTGTTGAGAGAGACGAGAGCTGTCACAGGCAGGTAACGCCTGATCGCAGCCAAAACGACCTCCTCTCCTCTCATTTCCTCCCTTCCTCCTCCTCCTCCACCCTTCCCAGTCTGTCACACATGGAGGTACAACTTGCTGCTGGGTTTGATTGGACACACACATACACACACAAAAACAAGAGTGCAGTGACCTCAGACTATTTTCTCCACAAAAAAACATGACAGTGTACAACTCTTTTATAACACTGGACACTTTTTTCTCTTTTGGACTAATTAGCACCTTTATAAAAAATAAAAACTAGACAAGAATTAGAACAAGATGTCAAAAACAAAAGTTAATGAGCAAAAAGCTCTTTATCCACACACAAAAACCAGCCTGTATTTTATCTTGTAAGGTTACATGGGCATATTTCACCTTGTTGAAGTGTTGTTCTTTGTCAAACTTATGAACAATATATCTCACTTGTTATAACTCGCTCTAGAAATCACCTCAGTTTGACGAAAAGGAGTTTAATTCTTACCAAACTACCAAACTAACAGCTAGCACGAGCACGAATGAGACTGAAGTGTTGATTTAAACCTAAAACACTTCATGAGCCACCACGGAGAAAAAACAAAAAATAACACCAGACGCCCTTTCTGATGCAACCTGCGCTCGAACCTGCAGCCTGAGGATTATGAGACTGTACTGACCACCGAGCTACTGCACCTCCTCTTCACACAACTCCAATCCAGAAAATAGCAGCTTCTACAAACAATATTTCACAGAACTTTACACCACTTTTATTGCACGGTTATCTATGGTTATTCATAAGAGAAGCAGCACAGGACAGCTGTGACTCGTCCTGCCTGAAACTCTTCTATCAGGAGCACCGCTAGTCCACTAATGGCTAACAGCAGAACTTTTTTTTGTTTTGTTTAGTGGATTAGCATTTTCAGTAATGTTGGAAACTGTTAGCTGAATTAGCTTTAGCTAAATTAGGTTTTATCAACTTTAAGTCCACTTACAAAATTCACAATTTTGTTCCTGTCTGTTGTGGGCGTGTCTTGAAGAGTCGTAGGCATGCTTTACTACATGTAGCCTACATGTGACGAGACGTGATTGGTCGATTGGTCTGACCTACTTCAACCATATGTTCCTTCTCAGGCACTGAGATCATCAGACCAGCTGCCCGTGGTTGTACCAAAAACGAGGCTGACGCTCAGAGATCAGGCCTTTTCAGTCGCGGACCCTAAACTCTGGAACAACCTGCCCCCCAGCATTAGACAGGCCACCTCACTTCCTGTTCTTAAATCTCTTATAAAAACACATCTGTTTTCTCTGACTTTTAATACAGTGTGATTTGATTTAGTATTTTATTATTTTGTGTTTTTATGGTTTTTTTTATGCATTTAATTATTCTTCTTTAAATTACTGCCATTGCTTTTTATTGTTAAGCACTTTAGTAACAGCTGCTGTTTTTAAATGTGCTTTATAAACAGATTCAAAAGGAAGGAGATGAAGATGTGTGATGCCGAATGAGTGACAGTCATCCTTCCGCTAATATCTTTACTTAGCGTTCAGCATTATCTACTATATTATTGTAGTCATCAGAATATGGGTTTGTGAAGCTAACTTTTTGGTTAGCTGTGCCCACCATTGATCAGGAGTTTCAGGAGTTATTTCTGCTGAAATAACCATGTTTAACCAAAACTGACTGGTGTGGAATATTAAATAAAAGCTTTAACACAAACTGCTATGAAATGGTGAATCTGGAGTTGTATCAGATGGCAACAATCTGTTTTGGAAGTGGGTCCACTCACGGCCATTACTTGCAACGCCAGCCGAGTGGGTATACTTCAAAAAATATTTTGCCATTTCAAAACAACTCCAATCTTTGCACTTGCTTCACTCAGCTGGTGCAGCTGGAGAGCTAGTGGCTCCGACCGCAATGACTGGATGGCTGGATGGCTGGATGGATGGATGGATGGATGGTGCTGCGCAGCAGGTGAAATGAAGCTGTTTTGACCATTAAATAAATGCATAATAAACGTGACGGGTCAGCAGTGGTGCATAATAAATGCAATTTATATGCCGAAGTAACTTATATATGTTTTTTTCCTCTTCATGATGCTTTTTTTGACTGATGCAACTTATATTCCAGAGCGACTTATATGCCGGAAAATACGGTATTAACTCTTGTATTGTCCTTTAACTTTATGGCCATTCATGCCCTTTGGAGAACAATCTTCCACCTTGTTTAACTGCTTAAAAATTACAAGTTTAATATTATTTTTTCCACAATAAACTAGTCATTCTTTTAGAGCTATTTTAGCTTGAAATAAAAATGTCCAATTTAAATGATTTTTAAATTTTTTAGCTCTTTAGCCTTTAGTTAAAAAACTAAATTAAAAACATCAACAACTCCATATTACAGTTTTTTTTTAATAATCAACAAAATATAACATATTATGGCAATTTTAGGGAAAAAGAAGAAGAAGAAAACTTCCCCGCATTAGGATGCCCTAAAGGATTTTTTTTTTTTTTTTTGATAATTTAGTAAAATTTCCAGTCTGGAGTTTTGTGAAGACCCTCCAGTCCAGCAGACCCTCAGATCCAGTAGCTAAAAATGAAACCTTGTTTTTTGTCAATCTTACTCTTGTCTCAAGGAGATCGGCAGACAGTTTAAAAAAAAAAAAAAATCATATTTTATATATTTTATTATTATTGATAAAAAAAACTATCCATGATAGAAACGCTAGTTTTTGATGTTTTTTTATTTATTTATTTTGCTTTGAACTGTTGCTGTGAGTTACCATGAACACCTGGATATAAGGAGTTTTGGGAACGTGGTGCAGCTGCTGACGATGTCCTGTTTTGGGAACAGCTAGTAGGAGTCAGCTGTGGAAGCTCTGATTCTGCAGCCTGCATGCATGTGAAGCAGCTTTTTAACACTAGATGTTTACTTGTGCACAGTACAGCAAGTTTTAGCTCTTTACATCCAACTAAAACTGTTTTGTCAGACGAGATGAGCGATGGGACTCCACAGCAGCGTCTGGCTGAGAGCAGGTTCGGCTTCTACTGTGGGCTGATTTATGGCTCCGAAGACTTTTACAGCATCTTTCAAAAATAAAAGCGTAGCAGACATGGTGAGCTAATATAAAAATCAAAAGTATAGGAATAGAAATAGAAAAAATTAACAAATAAATAAAACATTACTGAGAAGAATGCATTATTTTATGATATAAGCAAAGACATACATGTTGATTTACAGTGTATTTTAATGTGGCAAAGGAAAAGGAAAGATTAGTAAAGTTACTGTGAGATTATGACATCATTTGAAAAAAAAATTCAGGAAAAAAAGTTCTTATTTAAAGCACGCACAAAAAATAAAGAAATAAAAATACGGCACCAGTCAATGCACTGATTCTTGGCTGGTTAGCTTCATACCAGCACCAGTTCTTTCTTTACTCCTCCAAGCTCAAATGCTTCAGAACACCTACTAATATCGAGTGAACGCGCCGTGTTAAAGTGCACTTCTGACTGCACAGCTGTCTGGAGGAGTGTGACATCTTGTGATTGTCACCCGGCTGCCAGGGATCACCTCCACAAAGCTCTGCACACGATCATTGCCAATTTAAAGGGCAATGCAGTGAAAAAGGACCCTCTTAATGTAGCAGTAAATTACTATGATTACTCTGGTGAATATGATGGAGGGGCCTTACAGCGCGTGAACCTTCGGATTAGCAGGAATCGAAGCGGCCGGGTATTAAAGGCAAGCTAGAAGGCCTCAGTCTCCTCCGTAATGCTGGGATGATTACACCTGTTCAGGTTCTGTATGGACCTGAACGGAGATTATGGCTATTATGAAGATAATTGTGTTAAGACATGTTTAAGGGCTATAAGCAAGAGTCTAGCACTGATTCAGAAGCACCAGAATGATTGTCAGAGCCAGGGAGGTTACGCCAGCTAACACGATAGTCACTGAGATGTAAAAAGTCTTTTTTTTTCTTTCTTCTTCTCATTAAACCGGGAAAGTGAGGTACATCCCTTTTCTTGCTGTTCAAACACAAAATTTGCCTCCAGCTGCAGGGAGTCGAGCTGGTTTTTATTTGGTTTTGAACGATGTGTGGCTGTCAGAGCTTTGGTGATGTCTCCCACAGCCAGAGGGTTCTCCCCGTGAACAAAGAGTCTGCCAGTCCATGGCAGCTGCCTGGAACTGGACACCAACCTGTTGTGTGTTGTTTTAGCAGGAGGGAGGCATGTCGCCTAGTTTACCCAGTTCTACACAGTACAGGATGAAAGAGAAAAGTTAAAAACCTAAAGGAACTGTTCTGTTCATAAAAACCCAGCACTGTAATCCACTCGTCCGTCAGTTGGAGAGAGAGCTGGAGAGAAAGACGAGATGGAAGTGGAGGAAAGCTTCCACCCAGTTGTACCAGTCTCAGCACTGTTAGGTCCTGTATAAACCACTGCAGAAATTATTTTAAATTCATATATGTTTTATCACTTTCACATGTTTTGTCAGTTCAGAAGATGTAACTACAATACTGAAAGCCCTGCCTCCAGATGGTGAGAGCATCCACAGCATCAGAACAGAAAACTCTTAGCTTGCTTAAAAGTTATCGCAAAACTCATGTAATGTTTTCTTCTTTTGACGCCGTTCACACTTTACTCTGAGTTATTTCAGCGCACAGTTAAAGTTTAAAGCT